ATCAGAAGGGTCTAGGCCCAAAACATCAGCCTTTCTGCTCCTATGATGCTGCTTGGCCTGTTGTGTTCATCCAGCTCTGCACCTTGTTGTGGTGGTGAGGTAGAGCTGGATATCATCAGTGTACAGACAGTAACTAATGTACCTTTAGGTGATATCGCCGAGGGCAACGTCTAAATGGCATTGGAGAAGCTATCCTGTAGTCATTGATATTCTGAGGAAGAATAGCAAATTCTGTATTTGCTGTAAATGTACCATTTATGGTTGATATATTCATTGATTTGTGCATTGTGTTGTACTTTATAGCCAAATCAGCATTCTAAGTGTCTATCCTTCCAGCTTTCATACATTAAGGAAACTGCAGTATGGCATTTATGTACATAAGGCTGAAAAATAAGCTAAAATTTCCAGCGTCCTGATCATTGAACACTGTCAGGAATTCATATTAGAAACCTCTGCATTCCCAGACCATGATTTGCTGTCCTTTTAACGGACAGAACATGCCAGGTTATTGGTGAAAGTGAGCAATATTCTTACAAATCAAACTGGATATCTATTTAAGGGGAAGGGAGAGAGAAACAAGAAAACTTTCACTGGTAGAAATACCTTCTTGATGATGTTGCGATGATTACCTTGATGTCACAACATTCATTATAATATCATGAAGCAACTAAGTTACCATTAGTGTTTCAACATGTTTGAAGAGATGGTCTTTTTAAGGAGTTTCACCACTTGGCAGAAGTACTAGTCATAACCACTGAATTTCTTCTTTATTCATTTACAGGATGAGGGCATCACTGACCAGTCGGCATTCATTATCCATCCCTAATTGCCCAGAGGGCAGTTAAAGGTCAAACACATTGCTGTGGGTCTAGAGTCACATGTAGGCCAGACCAGATAAGGATGGCAGTTTCCTTCCTAAAGAACATTAACGAACCAGATGGATTTTTCCCGACAATCAACACTGGCTTCATAGTCATCATTAGACTCTTAATTCCATATATTTATTGAATTCAAATTCCACCATCTGCCATGGCCGGATTCGAACCTGTGTCCCCAGAACATTGTCTGAGTCTCTGAGCTAACAGTCGAGTACCATTAGGCCATCGCCTCCCCTAAATGATGGTTTCATGTTGTCATGTCATGTAACTGATCTGATGACATTTTGTCATGTAATCCGGTGCTTCAAAGCAACTTGTCTTCATATGAGGTCAAACTTAGAAAACAGATTCCCTAAAATGATTTGAAGGAGGTTGTAAAAGATAAAGTTTCCCTAACCAGAATTTTTCAATTGGCACTAACATAAGTGGTGATCCATTCAATAATCACAAGTGTTAAAATAATACTGATGGTGCAGTTAAACTGGCTACCTTCCTAAACTTGCTTCATTGGCTTGAGCAGACTGCTCGAAACCTCTGTTCCAACCTTACTTCATAAAAAGAATCAGAACGAAATACACCTCTTAAAGCCATAGTATCCTCACATAGCTCATAAGGCTACATGCAAAAAATTTAACAGACCCGCAATGGCATGCCATACTCCTTGCCAATGTCTGTCACAGATGCAAGTACCTAGTTGGGAGAAGTGTTGCTTAGTAGCGATGACATGGTTCTGCTATGCCAGTGTACAAGGAGTGGAGACACTGGAACCTATTCAAAGGGGGACAGTGCGCTAACATGCAAAGAAGGGCATGAGTTAGTCAAAATACTGTTGAAAACGTTGCAGGGTCTGGCAGGAAGTGTAGACAAAATTTAAAAATTCAAAGGGAAACACAAAGGTAAGACATGATAAACTATAAAGTTAGATGATGAATATTAGTTGTCCAATCCCATTTTCTGAATGGATAAATTTCACACTAAGATGTGTAAGTCAGGGATGGGGTTTCAATATTGTAGCTTCAGTTTGATCCTTCATTTTGTAGCCAACACACAACAGATCTTCAAACGGGAGCCTTCAAATTAAAAACCGAGAGAGGTTGCATTTCCTTGCTGCCCTTTAGCACATTTTAATCATGCTGTCTTAACACAGGACAATAACTGGGAAATTGCATATTCATTTGCCAAAACTGCATATATTAACATTTCATCATGGAACCTCATCAAAGGAAATCTTTGGAAAGGTGAACATGTGAGACATCACTCAAGACATTCCTGAGCTTAAGAAATGAGGAATTTGAATCAATCTGACACATTTGATCTTTAATTTAAGGAATGCACTTGTAAACTCAACTTCCTTACAGTCAGCCTTTGTACATCTTGATGTCAAAACCTGGGTTTGAGATAACAGAGACACAAAATTGATTGGAAAAGTGTCAAGTTCCAGTATATTATGAACTTTTGTCATTATTTTAAAGTTTTGAACAAAGACAAATGAAATGGCTGTGATGACTCATGTGACCAATGGCATTTTGAGTTCTAGACCATCCTAAATCTCAAGCAAACACCTAATTAAATTTTGATATTTAAAGCCATCTGAGGAAGTTACACAGCCCTTGTTTAAAGGGTGGATCTTCAACAAAGATCTATGGAATTTTAGCTGGCCTTGTCTCTGTTTCCCCATTGTGATAAAAGGAATACTGAAACACAATCTGTGTAAGATCAATGTGAATGGATTCCATTAAACTTCCATTGCATTATAATGGTTTCCCTCGTCAAACTAGGCAAGATAGATCAACAGAAACATCACCCTTTGTTTTGAAAAAGGACAGCAAACTTATGGAAGTCACCTGACAAGGACACCATTTTTGTGGCATGCTTTGACACAAGCAGAAGCTACCTGCAGACAGAGACAGACTTTTACCGAAAGCTATCAATTAGTTGCAAGCCATCTAAGCAATGTAATAAATGCAGACACCTTGTAACTCTGAGAAGGACCCCCTTTCAACCTGTTTCAGTTTCAAGTTCACCTGGGAACAACCTCCTGGACATTCAACTACAAAAAACTGTGACACATTTTTACTAAGATCTATTCACTTTACCCAACTTGCATTTCATCTCATGCACCACCTTCAGCTAAGAAACTATCGGTCTGCCTTGAAAGATATTAAAGTAATTAT